GTGCTAGGGATGAGCAGAAAGATCCACGTCAGTGGGAGGAAGGATGTACAAGGAGAAGACTTTAGAATGTTTAGGCTTTAGATTTGTATCCCAAGACTTGGAGCATAAGCAAACCAAGCTTTGAAAGTTCCTCCTTCAGAAGATTAATATTTATTTAAGTGTGTCTATCTCCCTGGTGACACCGAACACTAGCCTAAAATGCATATATAATTTATGAAAGAAGCTAGAGTATGTGACTGGAATATCAGAGGTATGCTCTTATGTGACTTCCACCCCTCTTTCTGTTCCCTAATGCAGTGTTCAATTGAATGTGGCAGCGGAACCCAGCAGAGAGAAGTAATTTGTATTAGAAAAACAGAAGGCAGTTTTGATGTTTTAAACCCTTATGAATGTTCATTTTTGGAAAGACCTCCCAGCCAGCAATCCTGCTACCTCAAACCCTGTGGGGCTAAGTGGTTTAATACAGAGTGGAGCACAGTAAGTCCTGTTTTTCCTTTTCTATATTCAAGCCAGATGCATCTCTCTCCACCTCCTTTGTATTTATTTGAAAAACAGCACTGGGGGAGTAATAGTGACCTTGAAATGAGACTTCATATATTTTGCACATGAATTATATTGTTAATAGGCCTTGCTTTGGGCTGCCTCCGGGGGCAAAGCAGCTGGAAATCTTGCCTGCAGGAACAGCCAAGGAGTCCCACGATAAAAAGAGGTCCCCAGTGCCTCTTCCTCTGCCTCTCTCACGTCCCCCTCCACATTGGTGGCATGCTGAGGGGATGGGGCTCAAGCCGCTTCATCTGATCCTGACCTCTATGGGATCACTGCAAGACAACATCATCAAGATCGGTCTTTATGCTGTGTTTGGCCCCCAACTTGCCCATGGTCAAGGGAGCAGAAGAATTGTATATTGGTTCCTCCAAAACCTTAGATCTCCTCAGCGGCAAAGAAAGTGAACTAACACGGGGTTTAGTTAATCAGACAAAAGAGAAAGTACACATCTGAAATACTGTGGAGACAAGCCAGATTCCATTCTGTTGAGGGACTCTGGCTGCCCCGTCGGGAAGATTTCCAGCTGCTTTCCAGCTGACACAGCATAAAGCACATTTTATTTACCATATTATTTACATACCAAGAATATTAAGTCTCATTTCAGGGTCAATAATATTAGCCATGGGAACTATAGGCCTATAGGACCATGCTCCTGGATTTATGTGACTACTTCAGAATTTTAACTAAAGTATCAAGTTTCTGGTTGTCATGATTGTGAAAACTCAAGTGTAACCAGTACAGCGATTCTGCCAGAGTCTGCAGACAGCCTGAAAAAATATCTTGGGAAAGTGTGAAATTGCACCATCCATATTAATGGTTAGGTCTGAAATCCACTGCTTTGAGGGGTCCCACCAACACCATTCCAGAAGAGGATTCTGTGTTTGGGGGTCTTTGTTGCTGTCACCTGGTCTTGACTCTACTGGGATGCTCTAAGCTGAGGTAACTTTCCACATATAGTCTTCCTCTGAATCCTTCGTCTTCTGGGATAGATCAGCCTACCTGAAGGTGGTTTGGGAAGTATATAAGCTCAGCCTGTCCAAAGAAGAAGTGGTGAGTCCTCACCAGGTAAGGGGTACTATGAGTGCAGATCCAAGTTGGGTGGGGCTCAGGCAGGGGTGGGCAAAAGCCTCTCAGTGGGCCAAATCCAGCCCTCCTAGGGCTTTGATCCAGCCTGCAAGGCAATTCCAGGCCCCACCCCCTAGTGCATTGCCTGGAAGCTGGAGACAGCTGAGCCCTTCTAACTGTTTCTATTGAAAGGGAAAAATGGAAAAGGCTCTGCTGAGAATCTGAAGAATCAGCTTTGTATGACTGGTATATCTGTGAATTAAAATGTCTAAGGATTTTTATGAACTGGTCGGTCCATTCCTCAATGGAAAGAGTATTTCATAGAATCATAGAATAATAGGACTGGAAGGGACCTCGAGAGGTCATCGAGTCCAGCCCCCCGCCCTCAAGGCAGGACCAAGCTCCGTCTACACCATCCCTGACAGATGTCTATCTAACCTGTTCTTAAATATCTCCAGAGAGGGAGATTCCACCACCTCCCTTGGCAATTTATTCCAATATTTGACCACCCTGACAGTTAGGAATTTTTTCCTAATGTCCAATCTAAACCTCCCTTGCTGCACTTTAAGCCCATTACTCCTTGTCCTGTCCTCAGTAACCAAGAGGAACAAATTTTCTCCTTCCTCCTTGTGACACCCTTTTAGATATTTGAGCTGTAAGAAATAGCAAGAAAATACTTCTGGCTAAATTCAGAAAACAGAAATGACTGTAAATACTTATTGACATTTCTCCTAAAGGGGAGTAGAAAGGAATTTATTTAACTGATTAAATTAATGTCAGCAAGTTTTCTGTGACACTAGGTTAAAAATCTTACCACAGCTTTGCAGCAGCCCAGCTATCAAGTCAGTGCAGTGTTTTCGTGGTGCATGATTGTGGTTTTAGCTGTCCGTTTTAATCAATAATGCAACAATGCTCCCTTCTGCAGCTGCCTTTTTGAAAACTACAATACTTCAAGTTGCTCCATGAGGGCATGTGTTCCTGCAAGAGAAAACTCTTGCAATAAAATTGATTAAATAAGTTTTCAGTTGCAGGCCGGTGCAATCAAGAGTCTGAGAGTCTGATTTGGTATTCATTTTCCTCCGAAACGATAAGTCCCTTTGTGACTGAATTTAAAATAATCATGGGGCGATATTTGTTCATGATATATGGTGTAACCCTGGAAGATACTGATCACCAGCAAATTCAATTTTAAATTAAAAGGAAGTAGATATTTCTGTCCAGGTTTAACAATCCAGGAAGTTATTCTGTATTAGCTATTCCTGATTGACTGTCTGGATGTTCTTACGGTGGAAAAAAAAATTGACTCTGAATTATCTTTATCCAAGTGGAGCAAGATCATTTGAATTAAGGCAATTTTATTCTGGGATAAGACCACCCAAACAGGGAGTTATCAGGAATAGCTATTTCATTTAAAATCCACAAAATATCTTAATCCAGATAAATTAACCTATGTAAACACACCTTCAGACCTTTTTCATTCACTATGGAATCTCCATGTTTTGAGATTAGGTCCAAACCCATATAATTTAATGTTCTTCATTTGTTTAGGTTTTATATGCTAAACTTACTAAGGGGCTTGATACATTAACTCTACTGACAATTAAAGCTAACGTAATTAACTAAAAATAATCATGATTAAAAATTAACTGAGATTAATCACACTGTTAAACACTACAATACCAGTTGAAATGTATTAAATATTATTGATGTTTTCTTCATTTTTAAATATATTGATTTTTAGTATAATTCAGAATACAAAGTGTATAGTGTTCACTTTATATTACTTTTATTAGAAATATTTTCACTATAAAAAACAAAGAAATAGTACTTTTGAATTCACCTCATACAAATACTGTAGAGTAATATTTTTATCATGAAAGTGTAATTCACAAATGTAGATTCTGTTTTATATAATTGCAGTCGAAAACAAAAAAATGGAAAACCTTAGAACCTACAACTCCACTCAGTCCTACTTTTTGGTCAGCCAATCTCAAAGAGAAAAAATTGTTTACATTTACGTGAAAGGGAGAATAGGTGTTTGCATGGCAGTTTTGTAGCCAGTATTGCAAGGTATTTATGTGCCAGATGTGCTTAACATTCATACTCTCCTTCATGCTTCAGCCAGCATTCTGAGAACATGATTCCATGCTGATGATGCTCGTTAAAAAATAATGTGTTGATTAAATTTGTAACTCCCTTGGGGAGAATTGTATGTCTCCTGTTCTGTTTTTCCTGCATTTCATATTGCAGCAGTCTCTGATGATGACCCAGCACAGGTTTGTTTATAGAATGCTTTCACAGAAGATTTGACAAAACCCAAAGAAGGTACCAGTGTAAGATTTTTAAAAGTAGCTACAGCGCTCAGCCCAAGATCTAATAATTGGAAGGGCTGTCCAAAATCTGAGAGGAATGAGATGTGGAGCATGCTTTCAGAAGTCTTAGAAGAGCACCACTTCTATCCTGAAGCTACAGAACCTGAACTACAAGAAAAGAAAAGTAACCTTCAGCCAGTGGCATCTAACTCATGATGATGAAAATGAACATGCTTCAGTCTGCTTTACTTTGCATTGTTATTCAGTAGACCTTGTCATCAGCATGGGCACATCTCCTCTAGAATGGTAGTTGGAGCATGAAGGGACATATGAATCTTTAGTGTATCTAGTATGTAAATATCTTGTTACCCTGGCAACAACAGTATCACCTGAACACCTGTGAACACCTGTTCTTACTTTAAGGAGATAATGTAAACAAGAAACCGGAAGCATTATCTCCTGCAAACTTTAAGTAGACTTGTTTGCCTGAGCGATTGCCTAAACAGGAAGTAGGACAGTGTGGACTTGTATGCTCTATTGTTTTATTTTTCAATGCAATTATTTTTGTACATAATTCTATATAAGTTCATCTTTCATGATAAAGAGATTGTACTACAGTACTTGTATGAGGTGAATTGAATACAATTTCTTTTGTTTGTACAGTGCAAATATTTGTAATAAAAATTAAGTGAGCACTTTCCTCTTTGTATTCTGTGTTGTAATTAAAATCAATATATTTGAAAATGTACAAAATATTCACAAATACTTAAAGAAATGGTATTCTATTTTTGTTTAACAGCACAGTTAATTGTGATTAATTTTTTAAATAACTTGACAGAAATAATTGCTAATAAATGAGTTTACAATGACTAGAAATTTCAGAGAGCAGGTCAAGGATTGTCTAACACAATTTATTGCTTCGCAGAAAAAATTGCAGAGTGAAGTGTGTGCCATTTTACCATATTGTCTGCTTAATGTGCAGTGAAGTTGTCTCTAAATGTTCAGGAATATTCAGGCTATACCAGAGAAATTCCCCACTAGGAGAAGAGCATGTCCTAATGTTAAGCTGAGTGAGACTTCCTGTGAGGATGTTTGTAAGCAGCATTGTAGCTTTACACTTGCTGGTATGTATTCATACAAGGAAAAGAATGGCACCACAGGGCAAAAGAGATTTGGAAAGGAGTTAAAAGTTTTTGGAGATTAGGATCTAAACCACTCAGCTACTGGTGGAATTGATAACACACATGCTGCAGCCCACTGGAGTTAATGTGTCAGTTTTTATACACAGAGATTTATGGAATTATTTTAACCTAAAAGGAACTTGAGTGCAACCTTTAAGATGTGCATATATCATAGTTAAGTAAAGAAGTGAGTTTTATTTCGAGTTTTCTTATCCCCTAGTCATAACTCTGGTCATCTGAAGAAGTGGGCTGAGCCCACGAAAGCTCATGAATCCATCTACATGTTTTGTTAGTCTATCAAGTGCTACCAGACCATTTGCTTGATGTTTTTTTTTCTGTAACAGACTAATTCAGCTACCCCTTGAAGCTAAAG